CCCCCGTGGAGTCGCGCCCAACGGAGGGGCGGGCTCCCGATGCCGCGAGCGAGACGCCGCCGCAGATGATGCAGACGATGACCACGTGCGTCATCGTGGCGGTCTGCGTTGCCGCGGGGGGGAGGGGGGGCGGAGGGGGGGGGGGGGGGGCGGGCGGCGGGCGGCGCACGGGGCTGCTGGGGGGCCGCAGCCTTCCAAGAGGGCAGGGATCCGTGAGAGCTGCACACCCTTGGGCGCGAATTCGTGGGGGGCGGTAAAGGTGCAGTGGGGAAGAGAAACTTGCCCTTTGCGGGCCCCGAGGGCTCCCCCTTGGGCCCGAAAGGGCCCCTTTTAGCCCCCGATTGGGCGTCCTCCGACATCCGCAACATCTTCTTTCGGCGGCGCGCACACGGCGGTAGGGGGAGGGGGGAAGGCTTCTTAGAAGCAGGCTGCTTATTAGAAGGCGCCGGCCTCGCATCTACAGATCAGGCCCGCGCCTTCTTAGAAGCAGGGGTGCTTCTCAGAAGGCCCGCGCCCCCCTCCCCCCTACCCCCCTTGTGTGCGTGGCCAATTCTTCTCCGGGAGCGACGAGATCTATGCGTGTCCACCGCACCTGGCCAGGCTCATCCTTCGCCCAGGAGCGGTGCGTGCGCCCCCGCCCCCGGCCATCTGGTAATTTCTGCATGATTTGCGCATCCCCCAGTTGTTTCGGGAGGTCCCACGGTCGCCGGGGTGGCTCTGCCATGGAAGGGGGGGAGGGGGTGGGGGGGGGCTCCATCTGGCGATTTCTTCATGATCTGCGCGTCCCCCAGATGTTTCGGGGGGTCCCAGGGTTGCCGGGGTGGCTCTGCCGTGGAAGGGGGGGAGGGGGTGGGGGGGGGGCTCCACCTAGCGTTTTCTTCATGATTTGCGCGTCCCCCACATGTTTCGGCGGGTCCCAGGGTCGCTGGGGTGGCTCTGCCAGGGGAAGCGGGGGAGGGAGGAGGCCGCAGAACCGAGGAGATCACTAAATCCGCAGTCCCCCCGGATCGGCGGCACTGGCCGGAGGCCATGACAATCAAGCACATGTCCGAGCGATGCCAAGCTGGCTCCAGACGGAATGCTGCCAGCAGCAATCTGGCGCGGAGACCACCCCTGGCCCGCCGCGGAAGAGAGAAGCACGACGCACAGCCGTGAAACTCCTTGCTGAGCGGAGCCTCGGCTTTGAGGTGTTGGGGGCACATCTCGGAGCCCCAACCCTGAGGCCCCAGGGCGTCCATGGATTGTTGGTGTGGGAACGCCGTGTCTTCCATAATGCGGGATGACGATTAATACAACAAATTGGAGAGAACGATTTAAAACAAGTTTCCTGCTATTTCCGCAGCTTTCTGACTGGAGGAGAACGGTACAAAAATAGTAACCCAGCCCGCGGCCGGTTTTTTCTAATCGTCATCCCGGGCGCCGCCGCGTGAACACGACCCCCGGTCATTTATTAATCGTCATCCTCCATTAGCAAAACCATCGAAGCCCAAGAAACCTAGGGCACCCTGGAGGCAAGCAGGGCGTTTCTTGACATGGGTCTCCACTGCACAACGCACAGCTGTGACACTCCTTGCTGGGCGGAGCCTCGGCTTGGAGGTGTGGGGGGGGACCTCTTGGAGTTCTGCTGAACCTCTCTTGGGATGCTCTTTGGGGCCGTTTCGGGGATCTGTTTGGGCGACTTCGGAAACCCTGAACCAAAAAACGTGTTCATTTCTTGAAGGCGCATCTTTTACTTCCGCCACCTCCCGCCGGCCTTCCGCCGGCTTCCGCCGGCGGTGGCGGCCTCAAATTACGTCCGCCGGCCTTTCGCCGCCTTCCGCCGCGGAAGACCTTCGTCGACCCTCGAAGGAAGGGCCGCGTTTGGAACGCCCCATTTGGGGACCTTGGAGGGCTCCCTTGGGGCTGCCTGTACGTAACCAGATGAGGCCTCCCGGGGCCGTCCTGCGAACAGCGCGGCGTCGGCGAAGGCCTGGGACCCGCTTGCCGCCAGCCTGGGCGGAGAAGCAACGGGGCCCTGGGCTGGAGCCATCGTCTCGGGCCTGTACCCCTACAGGCCGATTCTCGACGAAAAATAAGAGAATCAAAACATACTCCAAAATGGTCAACAAGAGCCAACAAAACATCGTCCCCAGGCTACCCCAGACAAGTGTTTACTACTTTTGAAGATCCCTCCTGTAGAGGGACAGGCCCGACTTCACCAGAGTCATGGCCTGCACCACCACCCCACCGAGCCGAACATCATCCCGGGCCAGCGGCGCAGGCGATGGTGAAGACTTCCCAGGCATGCCCAAAACGAGCATGCCTGCGTGTTCACGGAGCGCGCAGAGCGGCGATGCCAACCAAGCACCGCGGGCTCGAGAGGCTCAGAGGTCTCGCAGGGGCGCGCTTGACCGACCTCCTCTCCTCTAAGTTCTTCTCACCTTCCCTCCGCCCTCCCTCTCCACTCCATTCGCCGAGAAGCGACGCGACCATGGAATTGATAACCTGCGCGCTCTCTTGCATATGAGTGCTTCACCGTGGACCGAGACCGAGAGTTCCCCGATCATGGAACGTGGACTGACTGCTGACAAGTGGTACGCAGCGCGAGCGTGGCGAATCGCAACTGAAGTAAAGGAACGGCGCCAGCAAATGAGCCGCGACTGACCTCCCACTGACCCGGATATACACGACTCTGGCTGGAACCATCTCTGTTAGCACCGGTTCCTGCCCACTGCCCAAAACTGGGCTTCGAAAGTCACAGTCCAACTCCAGAGCGGGGGAAAAGGACCAGAATGCTGACTCAGGTGGCCGAAGCGATTCCCGAGGCGTCCACGCACGATAGCCAATCAACCCTCACGCGCACAATAAGTTCCCAGACGCACTCTGCCAGTAGGTCGAGCGTGCCCAAATATCCTGCCAGGAGTAGGAAAGGGCAGAAGAGGAAGAGGAGGAAGAGGGGCGAAGAGGAGGACTTCAGCAGATCCTCAGCATCGCCCCAAGCTGTGGACAAAACAATGGTCCTCCAATCCGAAGGCAAATGCCGCCAGGGAAGTGAACAGGACATTGATCGGCTTGACCATCTGCAAGAATGCGACCTGCCAGCGGCACTTACTGTGAACGCTTGCGTTAGACGCAGATTGCGAAGATGTTGCCAAACAGTAGAATTATGAAGCAATACGGTTGCACATGCCGGTATGGCATACACAGAAACGGCGGACTGTGGAGACACCGACAGCAACAATGAACCAAGAGGGCGACCCGTGGCATCGGCACATAGGAGGTACGCGTAGCACAATGTTCGTGTGGGTCTCTCTGAAACCGAAAACCAGATGGTCTGAGCTCAGAACCAGCATCCGCATTCATTATTAAGCCCGCGCTTACATAAGGAATTCGAGAGACCCGCGAATAGAGGCACAACATCGGAGGCTGGCATTGTTCCCAGCACTATTGCCACACTTGGACGAGACGCAGAAGCTCGCTGATCACAGACAGTGTCAGTCCCTTGCTGGGGGACAACTTTGTGCACTTACAAGTGTTCGGCTGCTCCGAGAAGGGGGAAGAAATACTGAAGTTGTCTACTCATGGGACGCACAGAGACATACTGGTACTATATGTCCTCCTTGGAAGCGCGCGTCCGACCCGAACAGATAGAAGACCCATCTTGTAGTATATCGTTTCCTGAGCGGTGTGGCCAGAAAGCGCCCGCCACGACACATATACTATAGGATGTTTCCCCTGGGGGGGGGGGGGGGGGGGGGGCGACGCACATATAGTATCAGTACGTTGGGCAAGGGCATCAGAAACAATGACCGTACCAGGTGCCTGTATCAAACTCGTCCTGCCGGTCCTGGGCTGCACACGGCGGGAGCGAGCCTTCAATGATCTTCGATTGTTAGGCCTACGTGTGCATCGGGCATGTCCTCCTACGAGCGGGTTGTTGGACGACAACAATGTTTAAACATATCAGATAAACACTCGGAGAATCGTCCCCAAACTATTTTGTACTACGTTTGAGTTTTCCTCGTGGAGAGGGACATGCCCGACTTACGCCTAAATGCGCCGAGCGCTCCCCCCCGCCCCGTTCACCGCGTCGCAAGACCGCACCGACGTCCGCACCAAGCCGAAGCCAACCTCAGGACTGCGGTCGGCCCGCAGCATGAGGATGTGCGACCAGGATGCAAAAGGCCGAGCCCTGAAGGAGGAGGAGGAGGACGAGGGGGAAACAGAGGAGGAGGAGGAGGAGGAGGAGGAGGGGGAGGAGGAGGAGGAGGAGGAGGAGGAGGAGGAGGAGGAGGAGCAGAGAGCAGAGCGCCGGAAAACGTCCCGGAAGGACGGCCCTATGAGAGCCCGGCGGGGGCGCCGGAGCGCCAGAAGGCTCATTCGTTGTAGTTGCCGGAGTGGAGGAAGCGACGCACGTAGTCCAAGAAGCCTTCTTCTCGAGTCTTCAACCATGGTAAGTTCTGGGCCAACACCCACCATTTGGAATCGTTGTCGGTGTCGACCACGTCATGTAGATAAGATGCAATGTCATCATGCCCTAGCTTCTTTTGCCCGCCATGTCGGCGAAAGGCTGGGCGTAGGTCGTGCGCGCATGGGTCCCAACTTGCACTCAGTCGCGTCCATCTGTCGTGATCGTGGTTGGCCACACGTGCTGCGAACGCCCATTTTCGCTTGAAGTATACGTCGGTCCAATCGTCGACTCGTGCTCGTTTGGCGTGTGCCAAAGCGGTGGAGGTACTTCTCCGTACGAAGTGAACCCAAGAGTCAGATCCATCGTCGTTGTCTCCGTCGGTTGCTGTTGTCGGTGCTGGTGTCGGTGTCGGTGTTGGTGTTGTCAGTGCTGGTGCTGTTGTGGGTGCAGGTGCTATTGACGGTGTTGGCACTGTTTTCGATTGGTGCTGGTGCTGGTGCTGGTGCTGTGTTCGGTGTTGGTGCTGGTGCTGTGGTCGGTGCTGGTGCTGGTGTTGGTGTCGTCGTCGTCGTCGCCGTTCGGTGCTGTTGTCGGTCCTGGTGTCGGTGCTGGATTCGGTGTCGTTGACGTCGACACGTGTGCCGTTGTTGGTGTTGCAGCTGGCGTGTGCTGTCTGTCTGCTTGCTTCCAGCGTGTTCCGTCTTCTCGGCGTATTGATGATCAGTCGGAGCATTTTCCGTTGTGTTCGTTGTAGCGTGATGAGCATATCCTTGGTGAGTGTCCACGAAGAACAACCGTACATAACGCATGGTGTGATCGTGCCGCTGAAGAGTCGGAGTCTGCTGTGCAATTGGAGCTTTCTGTTGGCAAGTTCACACCGTAGTGTGAAACTTCGACCATCCCGCGGCGATCCTGTTTTTCAGCTCATGTCCGTGGAAGTCGTGGAACAATAACTTTGTGCTCAAATATTTCGTACTCTGGTCGTTGGGTAGAATGTCTATGCGTGCACCATCTAAGACGATGTGCGTAATTGTTCTGCCAGCCCTCCGGCTGACGTTGGTGAGAAGATGGGTCTTGTCGGGGTGAAGTGAGAGTCCACAGCAGGATGCTTTGTTCTTCAAGTCGCGCAATAAGCATGTAAGTTGGCGAGGGTTCGGGGCGTACAGCAGAACGTCGTCTGCGAAGCGTAGGCTCGTGATGTTTGCTTCCTGAGCAAAACCGAGCTTGATGCCAAACTTTTTGCGTTGCCAGCCGGGCTTGATTTGTCGGAAGATATGCTCCAGCAGCGCACTGAACAGGAAGGAGCTGAGCGGATCTCCCTGCTTCACACCCCGCTGTATGCTAAAACTGCGACTGGAGGTGTCAGTGCGGACAGTGGCCGTCTGATCATTGTACATGTGCTGAATGAGGGTGATGTACGCTTCGGGAATATGTTGCTGTCGTAGAGCGTCCCATAGGTGCTTGTGGTCCACGCAGTCGAACGCCTTCTTGAGGTCGATTGCTGCCGCCCAGAGCGGTAACTGCCAACAGTGTGATTGTTCGTGCAACATTGCCGTCGTGAAGAGGTGGTCATCCGTGCTGAAGCCTCGCCGGAAGCCAGCCTGGTCAGGGCTCTGTTGTGCGTCGAACGTGGCTTCTAGTCGATTGCAGAGGAGGCGGGACATGAGTTTGTACAGCAGTGAGATGATGGCGATCGGTCGGTAGTTTTGCGGTAGCTTGGGGTCCCCTGATTTGTATGTCACCGTTATCGTCGTTCTCTTCCATTGTGTGGGTGATGGGTGGTTTGGCTTGATAACGTCGTTGTAAAGCTGAAGTAAGTGCGATTCAATGGCGGTTCCCCCCGCTTTGAGAAGTTCGGCTGTGAGTCCTGCAGTGTCGCTGCACTTGCCGTTTTTCAATTGCTTGATTGCATGTCGAAGCTCTTTTGGTGTGAGTGGTGGTATGCTCGAGTCTGTTGCCGTGTCGGTGTTGCTAGAAATGTCGCTGTCGTCCTGAGGTGTTTTATAGAGTTGCTCGTAAAAGGTGGCGAAGACGTCCGCGATGCTCTGTCTGCCACTTGTTTCGTCGCCGCTTGTGGTTGTCATTGACGCGCTCATGTCTTTTTTCTCGGACGTTTTCGTGCCCGCGATTCTCTTGAGGTTTTTGAACTGGCACACAATGGTTTCAATCCTGGCGTTTTCCCGGACGCGCTTGATGGTTCGAAGCTGTTTCAAAATGAGTTTGCTCAGTGTACTCCTGGTGGTTGTGTCGGCATGCGGTGTGCTGCGCCGTCGGTCAATGAGGTCGCGCAGCTTATTGTTTGATGTGACGTCGTCTTCGTGTGCTTGGTGTCGCGGTGAACTGTCGTGGTACTCATGGTAGTCGCCGTGAGCTTGGACAAGGGCTTTGGTGATGTGATTGCTCCTGTCGTCAGTGCTGGCTGCGGCGTCGTGGGCGTCGAGTCTCTGCTGTAGGTAGTGTTGGTACAGTGGATCGTCAGCAGGTGGGCGCGTAGACCGATGATTGGATCGTTTTGTTCGCTTCTTCCGCTTCTTCTCCGGCGTGGTGGCGTCGAAAACAAGCCTCAGGAGGAGAAGGAGGAGGAGGATGCAAAAAGCCCAGGACGTCCCCTTTCGAAGCTTGTCGAGCGGGGCGCGGCCGAAAGCGGTGGCCAGGGATGGACCGAGGAGGCAAGGACGCGAAGGTATCCGTGGGACGGTTGCCCATCCTCCAGGGCTCCCAACTTCGCGCGTCGCGCTGCGCGAGGCGCGAAGTGCGAATGACTTCGCGCTCTCGCGCCGCCTCCCATGGGAGAAGAGGAGGATGAGGAGGAATCGGAGCCGAACCACGAAGCGCGAAGCGCGAACAACTTCGCGCCCTCGAGGGCGCCCTTGCATCCTTGCTGTGCGGGCTGGCTGTACATGGGGGACCCCCGAGTTCTTGTCGAGCCTAGCACTGGAAAAGTGCAAGCTTCATTCTTCGCCCCCCCCTCGTCTTGCCACGAAGGTGTGAGGACAAGGACAGTGGCCGACCGACGAAAACATGAAGGCCAAGTTCCCTGCGCCCAGGCAGTAGCCGTAGAGCACCGAGATGGGAAGGAGGCAGTACAAATACGTGTCCCATGGTATCACCTGGAGCAGGAGATCAAGCAGAGATGCACACACGGCACAACCTCGACTGACCCGTCGCTGAAGTCATAACTGCTTCCGGGATGCCCCTATAAGATGTCTCAGCCCTCGCCAATTCACTCCTGCGCTCCCTCCCCCAAAGATGTGACGCCCTTCCCCTGCCTCCCCTCCCTCACCCACCATCGCTGCTGGAACTGTGGGCTTGGCTTATGTTGCCCCCATCGTACTCAAGGACCAAATCCCAGAAATAATTTCGAGCACCCGGAAAAGTGTCTAAAGAGTGTCGAAAGAGTGTCGAAACAGTGTCTCCCAGGGCCCGAGTTTTGGGGTACTTTTCTGGCGCTCGAAATTCTTTCTGGTAATCAAGGCTAAAGTAGGTTGGAACATCATAAAGGCTTGGCATCCACCCTGCTGGGGGGGGGGGGGGGCACGGGGCACCTGAGACAGGTCTGGCTGGCTGGTCTGCGCATTGGCTCTGAAGTGCCCCCCATTATATCTGGTTCTCTCGGTCCGCAGGTCTCTCTATGGGAGCTCTCGGCCCAGACGTTGCAAAGATTTCGCGCCGCGTGCCGCGTCTTTTCGTTGGCCCCGACCGGTCTCTCCTCTTCGGGGGCTGCCAAAGGTGCCCTCAGCCTTTCGCTCCATTTGCGGCAGGAGGAGGAGGAGGAGGAGGAGGAAGAGGAGAAGGAGGAGGAGGAGGAGGAGGAGGAGGAGGAGGCTGGGCCTCGTGATGGGGTGCCCCGGAGGCCGTGGGTGCCTCCATGGAAATCCTGGGGACACCTCTAATAATAACGCCCGATCTGAGACGAAGCCAAGACGAGGACCATTTCGGGTGAGGATAAGTCGAGACTCTCTGAGATCCAGCAGCTCTGAAGAGGATGTCTCGGGCGCCGCGGCCCTCTCGAAGCGTTCCGGAACGCTCTGAGAGCGCTCCGAAAAACGCTCTGGGATGGACTTCTCCTCGTCCCCCCATCCTTCCACGTCCGACGATCTCTCGACCCCGTCCGATGATCTCTCGACCCCGTTCCCAGACCCCCGGCGACCTAATTTTTTCACAACGTCGACCCCCGAGGTCTGGACCCCTTCCCCTCGCCCTCCACCTTCCCGCACCTTCCGCGCGGCAGGTGCCGCGCCGCAGCGGACGCCGCCGCCGCCGAAACCGCTGCTGCGGCCTCGGCGGAAGCCGCGATGGCGGCCGCGGCGGCGGCCGCCGCGGCGTGGAACCTGCCGCGCGGAAGGTGCGGAAGCTGGAGGGCGAAGGTCCCCTGGACCGGCTTGTTTCATCCTGAGCCGGTTTTTGACGGCCCCGACGCCCGGGAGGGGCCCCCGGAGGCAGAAAACAGCGCCACACCTCCCGCCACGATTTTCCCACGACGCGAGGGGGCCTGGGCCCGACGATCCCTTGCATTTCCCTTAATAAGCGTGGGGGGATACCCCTCCCGACGGGGGTCCATCCCGTCTCGTCGTCGCGCCGCGACTGGGTTTCGGAGCGCCTGCGGCGCCCGCTGGCTGCCCGCGACGCGGGTCGATGTGGGGCTGTCGGCGGGGGCGACGCCCCCCCCCCGACGCTTGTTGAGAAGCTCGGAATCTTTTTCACTTGCTTCCAAAATCCGCCTGTGGGACAGCAGATGGACGATATGTTCGAACCCTCACACATTCGAGGGAGATTCTAAATCACCCCCGCGCCCCCGACATCAATGTTGATCTCAGTAAAGGCGGTGCTCCGGGGTTCGGGTATTTCTGTCCACTCACGCCCCCCCCGTCGCCACGCCATCAATATTAATTTCGGGGGGTCGGGGGGGCATCTTGGGCCACAGGGTTCGAATGTAATGTCCATGTGCGGGAGGACGTGCCCGACGTATAACTAGAGCTCGCCCAGAGCCCATGCCTGATGCGACGCCAGCGAACGGGACTTCCAAGACCGCGGCGCTGCATCCGAGACTTCGAAGTGCGAGCGAGAGCGTCGTGCGACGACCTTGCGGGCCAAGCCGAGAGGACTCGAGACATTGGCATCGCCCGTCTCAAAAGTCCCTTTCCATGGGGTCCCGTTTGGGACCGACCACTCAGATGAATCGACGGCGAGCGAGGGGGGGAAGTGAGAAGGAGAAGGCCTTCTCAGAGGGCGGCGGGGTTTCTCAAAGCCCTCGCGCCTTCTGAGAGGCCTTTTGTGTCTTCGGGGCAGGCTCAGAGAACTTCGCATTCGGCTGGAGAGCTTCCGAGCCTTCTGAGAATGCCTTCTCGTCTCACTTCCCCCCCTCTCGCTCGCCGCCGAATGAATGCCCCCGACCGTCTCCATCGACACCGTCCTGGCCGGTCTCTCGAGCTGCGCCCCGCCGTGGCCGACTGGGAAGGCCGACCCTTCCGTGGCCGCCGCCCCGACCAGCTGCTCGAGCGTTCGCTCCAGCTCGTGACGATCAGTTCGGGCATGTCCTCCTACAGGCGGATTCTGGAGGACAAACAAAAGATACAAAACAAATGCTCAAACATTGCATCTAACAAATGCTCGAAGGATCGTCTCCCGACTATCTTTTTGCAATTTTTCCCGGAAAGGGCGTAGGCCCAGGGTTCTCTTTTAGTTGGTTTACCCCCCGGTTTCGACGGGAGGTGGGCCGGCGAAATTATTCTGCGATAAATTACGTGCGGGAAGAGGGCCGGCGAAATTATTTTTGAGGATGTCTCGAGCGAAACGCTTGTTTTTCAGAATTTGTTGAGGATGTCTCGAGCGAGACGCTGGTTTTGCAGAGTTGGGGATGTCTCGAGCGAAACGCTTGGTTTCAGAATTTGTTGAGGATGTCTCGAGCGACACGCTGGTTTTGCAGAGCCGACCGCGACACGGAAAAGCGCCCCTCGCGCAGGAATTCTGAGGATGTCTCGCGCGTGCCGCGTCCCGCGCGCGGGTATTTGGATTTCTTTGGATTTTGACAGGATGTCTCGAGCGAAACGCTTGTTTTTCATAATTTGTAGAGGATGTCTCGAGCGAAACGCTGGTTTTGCAAAATTGGAGGATGTCTCGAGCGGTGGCCTTGTGGGGGGCCAGAATTCAAAGGATGTCTCAGGCGAAATGCTTGTTATCACGTCCCGCTCGCAGGAATTCCGAGGATGTCTCGCGCGTGCAGCGTCCCGCGCGTAGGAATTCAGATGATTTCGACAGGATGTCTCGAGCGAAACGCTTGTCCCCAGCACGTTCCATAGCGCGTCCCCTTGGCACGTCCCGCGGTGCGTCCCCATGGCACGTCCCTTGGCACGTCGCTTGGCGCGTCCCTTGAGACGTTCTGCGTCGCGTCCTCCTGGCATGTTCCCCTGTCCATTAGCTCTGGGGCAGCTACTATGTGTTCAGGCAGCTCGAGCTTAAGATCCAGATCAGTTCGGTCAGGACTCGGATGCAAAGGAGGACTCGATCCACGAGGCTATAGACCACAATCGCGCCATGGCACATCGCAATTCAGCACGGCGCAGCACAGCACTGATTTCGGCACGGTACATCAAGGTCGATACACTCAGCATTGCAACTTGGCACGTTCCTTGGCACGTTCCGTGGGGCGTCCTTTGGCGAGTCCCCCTGGCACGTCGCGTGGCGCGTCCCCTGGCACATCCCGTGGCACATCCATTGGCACGTTCCGTAGCGCGTCCCCTTGGCACGTCCCGCGGTGCGACCCCATGGCACGTCCCCTGGCACGTCGCCTGGCGCATCCCTTGGGACGTTTCGCGGCGCGTCCTCCTGGCATGTTCCCCTGTCCATTAGCTCTGGGGCAGCTACTATGTGTTCAGGCAGCTCGAGCTTAAGATCCAGATCAGTTCGGTCAGGACTCGGATGCAAAGGAGGACTCGATCCACGAGGCTATAGAGCACAGTCGCGCCATGGCACATCGCAATTCAGCACGGCGCAGCACAGCACAGCCCTCGGCAGGGTACATCAAGATCGATACACTCAGCATTGCATTTGCCCGTCACCCAATCAGGTGTCTTTGAAAACGCTGCCATGTGTTACAGTTCTATATTCCTTTCCGGGTTCGTGGGTCGATCATGTTTTATATTCCTCCTGTAGAGAGACTTGCCTTGTGTTGCCCCCATCGCACTTGAGGGCCAAATCCCAGAAATCATTTCGAGCACCCAGAAAAATTATCGAAACGGTGTCGAACGAGTATGGCCTCCCGGGGCCCGACACGGGAAAATCCTTAACTTTCGGTCTTTTCTTAGTGCTCGAAATTCCTTCTGGCGATCAAGGCCACAATGGGTTGGAACAGCGCAGAGGGAACCGAACTCTATACATCTATACACCGATACTCTTTGCGGCACTGCACTGAGATTTGCACAAGAAAGCGGATCCTGGTGCATACGGGGTCTCGGTGTATACGTTTCCCGATGCTTCCCGGGAGAGCGGGGAACCAAGTATACACCACACCACCCCGACGTCGCCCCCGACCCTCAAAAAGTCCTGGGATTGAGAAACAGGCCGCCACTGGTAATGTCAAGCCGGGCGCGCCCCCCCACTGGGGGATCTTGGGCGAAAAATTAAGCATGCAAAAAATATTCCGAATTATAAGGGAACAAAGAGTGGCATAAACATAAAAACTCGGAGGTCCGCGCGGATTTCTCGGATCGGCGCTGGGGCCCCCCGGCGGCGCCTCCGGCGCCGCCCCTGGCGCGCTCCGCGCGCCAAGGAGGGGGAACGCACGACGCGCTCCATCGGCCCGGAGGCCGTCCCGAGACGGGTGGCGCGGTGGCGCCTCAGCGCCCTCAGCTCTGGTACTCGAGGGTGCATTCCAGCCAGCGTTTGCACTGCCCCCCACGCCGCCGGACGCGGTTCTCTGGCTCCCAGTTAGATGCAATCTGTGCCCACGACTCTGTGTCAGTGCTCATGCGTCCAAGCCAACGCACTGCGGCTTTGCGGCGTTCTGCAACCCAATCACGTAGATTCAGACGCGCAACACGGTGTTCAGCATCATGCGTAGCCCTTCTCACCCAATCAACCCATGGCTCCAGATCCGCATCGCAAGCGTGCG